ATATTAAACATAAAGATAAATTATATCAAACTGCTGTTCCAATTTCATGTCTGATTGCAGATAACGTTTGTTATTATTTATAAACCAATCTGAAGGACAAGCATCTGCTAAATAATTTCAACGTTTTTCAAAATCACAAAGTTGTTTCTCGAAGTTCTCATAAACTTTTATAGTGACCAAGAATTTTTTTTTATTTGGTGTTCATAAATTTCCTACTAGAGGTCATGGATATTTATTGCAAAGTTTCCATAAATGAAGCTCGATTCCTGTCCCTGGGCTATTCTCATTTGCATTCAACGTACAAAGTGTAAAGATTTAGCAAGTGATCTACTACTTTTGTTACAACATAAGAAAATTCAGGCATGCAATCAAAAACAAACTGGCTAGCCATAGTTCATAAAAACATACATAAAAACTCTCAAAGTTAAATTATGGCCTGCTACACAAAGCTCTTTAGTTGGTTAAACATAATAGCATATGTTGCTGTCAGGTGCTTTACCATGGGAAACATTAAGTAAGCCTATAAGGCTCTGAACAATGCAGGTGGCACTTTTTAAAGGAGAATAATTTTAACTGGAATAACAGGTTTAACAGCCAGACCAATTCAGACTCGCTGCAGGATTTCTATGAAGTTCACAGTCCGTACACTGACTTTCATTAAACGTAAGTAGTGCTTGATGCGTTTCAGCTGTAGTTTTATTCACTGCAAGCTAAAGTTCATTTAACAGGATCTCTGATTTCTTGTGTACCGTGTACTTAATTATAGAGGGGGTTGTTACAACTTAGCTTAAATAATTTACTGCCTCGAAGTTAAACTTCAGTCTCTTTTGTAGCTGACAATGCGTATGGCCAGTGGATCAGTGGATTGCTAGCTTAGCAATGAAACTGTAAATGCCAATGTTTAACTTTCTTTTTTGAAAACTAAAACGTGGAACCCAGAGGGTTTTTTTGTTGTTGTATCACGATAAGCTCTCCCAAAACCTGCAAAAAGAAGCCCTTTATACCTGATTTATTCCCACTGCTCTTATTTTTATTGCACCTTGCTCAAACTACACAAATATTTTTGTGGAGTATCAGGCACTGAAAGTGGCTATTTTACTACTTTACATTAGCCTACAGCCACCACATTTACAGCAAGTGAAACCCTGCACTGTTTAAAGTCATCTACAGTAGTTTCCAATGCATCTTTAGAGATGCATGTTACAATCTTTTAATTTCTGCTGACTTGACTTGACCCAGATCAATGACTTGAGAACTTCCTCTGTTAATTCACCAAGAATTTGTTCTGATGATACTTGGTGTTCCTTCTTCTTTTCTATCAAGGTGAACTTTTTTCCCTTCACATTTAGTGCATTTAGAATCCACATGATTGTAATTAGAGACATATGCTTCTATAAAGGCGTTTGTAGTGCTTTACATAAATCTTATTAAACGCATCTTAGAGAAAAAAGATTTTATTTAAGCAAATACAGACTAAATGACTGTAATGCAAGCAACTACAATATAAGTTACCTGTATATCCTGTATGTACCTATGCCCAAACTAAAAGTAATAACCAAACTCTTTTACTAATTATTTCACTCAATCCATGCTTAAGAGTTAAAATGTACATAAAACAGCTAAGTGTGCAGTGATGAAACTCAAGGTGAATATCTGATTGAAAGTGCTAGAAAAAGCACAAGTGTTCCCAGTCTAATCGATCAAGGCACTGTTTTCAGCTCAATTTACATACCCAATAACTCATTCTGCATTCTGCCCAACATTAAGAAGCTGTAGTAAATTTCTCATCGTTTTGCTTTGATTTCTGCATTCTTCCCTGTTCTCCAAGCAATGGTGAATAAACCACAAGCACTGTGATTAAAGCAAGTATAAAAGACAAAGCAAAGTACAGTACATTACTTTATAAAACGTGCCCAGTAATGGAAATGTTGAGACTGAGACCACCACATTTACATCACAAAGTATATAAAATGACTGACAGAATGAAATGAGAGAATATTTCTATAAATGGTACATTCTTTCTTACATCCTTTTCATTTGCAGTGGAGAACTGCATATTTAAGTTAAAAGAACATGACATCTTTGAAGGAGTTACATCACTTTTGAAAGTTTCCCAAAACAAACACAAATAAATTAAATTAAATGCTACCACCTGGTGGTGTTTCTGTTTATTCAGCAAGCAGTTGTCACTTCAAGCAGGCCTTGCTTTCAGGTTCAGAACAGTCTGACTGTTACTCTGTCAAACCAGTTAATCATCATTCTTCAAACAATGAACTGTCAAGTCCTATTAATGAACTCCTGAGAAAAGACTTGCCTGCAGTGCAAAAAAGCTGGGATAATACAAAGAATGCCTCAGTTAAGGTAGGGTCAAAATGAGAAATGAAAAAATGAAATAATAAGTTCTCGCCTCATAACCTTTTAAAATAACAGAAGCTGATTATTATCTGAAAGGGATTAACTTAAAAAGAAAATGCTAAGCTTCTCAAAGAAATACTTCAGACCTGTCAAGAGTCGGAAGCTAAATTTTGCAGCTGAAATTAAAGTGCTGCTACACTAGAACAAAAAACTGCTACCTGAAAAAAAAACAGCTGACAACATGAAAGGACACCTGCTTCAAGCCATTCCAGTCTGGCTCTTGAAATAATAGAATAAATTAAATTAGTGAAATGAAATGTACAGTTTAGAAAAGATTTCGCAATCATTTTTTTAAGAGCTCAGAACCTGGACTAATAATTGGATTCTACAACTACATTCACCTGGATGAAGATGTCGTCTTATCAGTATATTAATGCTGGCCTTCAACATGTATGTTCTGTACATATGAGTTGCATTGTTCCCACCATACACACTCTATACATCCATTTGACTCCCTACACCTAATTACCTCATTTAATTGAAAACCAGCTCTAAAACTGTAATAACTTCTGTGTTTGGCACTGGGTGAGTGCCGAGTTCAGCTTCTATATACAGCATGTTTTATGTTCAAAGTTTTAAAGAGCCTCCAAAACTCTGTGGTCAGGCCTGACCACATGATCAGTCTTCAGAAAGTGCAATTTCATTGCTTATAACATTTGGTAATTCTGTCTAGACATCTATGGAAAGCAGTTCATTTAACACAGCCACTGTTACACACCAGGGGGAAAAATCCTTGCACCTCTACGATTCAATTACCGAGTGACAACTCCTGACCTATATGAGTGAGAGCAATAAAGATCTCTTAACAAAACTCAAACTTAAGGTAACAGTCAATATTCAGTGAAGTGAGAGTACAGCTTTTATGAATACAAAATGAGAGAAAACTAAACTGGAATGTTTGAGAAATTACCAAGTCAATCCCTGCAAAAAAGATTTCCAATCCCATGATTTACAATTATGCATTAAAAAAAACACAGTTGGAGATTTAAAATTGATTTTCCTAATTGAAATATTAACACCAAATTACTATATGAAGAAGCTGCACTGTAACAGTTTGAAGTCTTGTTTAGTCACCTGTTAGTCATTATAGTTACATAAAAGAGAAACACCAACACAACGTTACCTGCTAACAAACCAGTGGTCTCAAGATGAGAAATACCTTGAGCTTTCAGCAACATACTGAAAAATTACATCATTGCATCTTAGTCCTGTGGGAGGGGGCAGAGTGGAACAGTGAAAAACAGAGCCAAGATGTTCAAGTGGCGAATGTAAAGCTACAGTATGTTCTGATTAAGAGCAGAGGGGATGTTCCTATATTTCTCTTGATTTGTACCACGCACACGTTGAGTAGTATGTTCAATTTCCATGCAACTATTTTATAGCTTAGCTTTTATAAGCAAGGGCACTGCAAGGTATGTGTGCAGGCAGCTTTTTTTCAGCAGGGTGTGTGCGTGTCTGTATGACAAGAGTTCCCAGATGTTGCCTCAAGGACACCCAGTTTGAGAACGAAATGCTTTCATCTCCAAGGATTATCCTGTTGATTTTATTTAATTCACACACACACACCCCCCCAGCCTTCACATTTTTACTGCTTTTGAGGGAGATTCCAAATGATTCATTTCATCTGCCTTTAGCACAGAATAAAATAATAAAATGTGATTATGTAAAACATTTACATTTTCATTGCACACTACAAAGTCAACTGGGACTTAAATTGGTTTATAAATGCAAGGCAGGATTCTTTATACAGTGGAGGAATGACGCTAAGCAAAGAGTCACTTAAACAGCTTGTTCGGCAACCATCTGAGACTTCTCAAATCTATTGCAGCAAAAGCACATCCCCTGTCTTATGTTAGAGCTCACAGGCATCATGACACCTCACTTCAAATGAAAACCTCCAGGATTAATATACTGTCCAGTAAGTCGTTGATAATACCCGATTTTACCTTGCGCCTTGCCTTCTTTAAAAACAAAAACAGTATGCCAAGTGACATCTATTTCCAGCAACTCTCTGATGCGGTTTTGTTTGTGCACCCTGCACAAAACGTACCATCCTTCAACCGAGTGAGTGATGCTGATCACTTAGGATCCACCTAAACGCATATCTCCTTCGTTACCTCAGCCACTGCTTGTCAGCCCCTTCAGACTAAGCACAACTTTCTCAAGTGGCAGACTGACCCATTGTCAGAAGGCGTGCACATCCTATTGGACTAATTAATTCTCTGGCAGGGGTTATCCAGTGTACGAGGTTGAACATGGCCAAGAAAAGCGACACAGCGACTGGGGCAGTTTGCAGGTGGCCTCTGAAGTGTTGAAAGTCGAGTCACTCAAAGGTGGGTCAGTCGGAGGAGTCAGCCTACACCTCCTCACTCTCCCCGGTGCCCAGTCATGGGGATTGTAGCCACACGCCAAGATGTGAATAACACAAATTTGTTCTTTTTATTTCCAATCGGAGGGGTGGTGGAATAACAAAAAAAAAACTCCACATATTATTGGGCGTGAAATGTTGTTCACACTGTAGTTGCAAAGCTCAAGTCCTATTAGACCAGGTGCCTTCCTGGCCACGATTGGTGTAGGACACTCACCAGTACGATGGATGTCTGAGCAGCTTGGCGTACAGAGCAGTGCTGAAAGATGGGACGATGGGAATAAGGTTAAGAAACGATCCTTCGCTGTCCATGCAAGTCAGCCCTGCCTGAAAACCGAAGACCTGCAACAGAGAATGAAAGAGAGCTTAGAAAGATCAAAACAACTCTTTAGAGAGACTGCGCACAAAAACATGCCAGGATCCCAGACCACCTGCCAGACCTTCAGACACGTCCCACAGTTCTCACCCTCCCCTCTGACATAACTGACACAGCCGTGTTCAGAAGGTTCAGCAATAACTCTGCCACTACAGACCCTCCACACCCACGTCACCTCGTGAAAAGTCAAAGACAGGACTTCGGGTTAGCAATGTTAGTTGGCATCAAACATTTTAAGGGGGAACATCTGGAAACAATATGGAGGGAAATGTTTAAAAGGAAGAATGGTGACAAACATCTGTTAACCTGGAGCACTGTAAGACTTTGCAAAGCTTCTTATGAAACACTGTGAATCAGAAGAAGTAAAGCAAGCGGTTTCATTTTTGTAAACTGTTAAGGACTTATTTTATCAGTTCAAAGCCCTAAAAAACCATGATGTCACAATCTACAAAACTGATGTTGTTAAACGATGGTTACTTCTGCCGGATATTAGATAGAGAAATGTGAATGGTACAAAAAAGAATAAAAGCAGACAGTAAAAAGTTTCAAATTAGTATCAGTATAAGAATTACTATTTAAATAACTAATTTAAATAACTTGGTACTAATGATAATCATGGACCACTCCACTCCATGTACACACCACTCAAATGCAACTAAATTATCCATGCTCATATTACTCTTACTGTGCCCATATTATTTATGCATGTTTATACATGTACGTATATTGAAAGTTAACTAACAGACACAAGCCATCGTTAATATAAAGTATTAGATCAGAACTTGCTCCAGCTGTGAAAACAAGCACTGTGCCCCCAGCTGTTGTGCATATCAAGGACATGCAAGCAGACTGATTCCAGTCATTCTTCCCATTAAGCCAGAAATGCAGACTCAAGCAAGACCTGCTCTTTCTTTTCTTATTCAAACACTTTACGATATCTGAATATCTGAAATTTCGTGATGTTGAAAACATCATCAAATACAATATAATTTATTAAGGTTAAGAATTTTTTTTTTTAAGTGTGGGGTTCCCTCACAGACCAGGATTACACTGAATGGGACAAACACCCCACATAAACTCTGCACATGGAGATCTGTAGAAACATCCTCCGTGTGCAGAGAAAAACATCTAACAACGGGTGCAGGGCCGAATTAGGCCAGTACCCACTATTGATAAACATAGAGAAAAGAGTATTAAAGTATTGGCTACACCTAAAAAACAGCGACCAAAATTCCTACCACCACAAAGCCCTGCTGAGCCAAGAGCTCAGCCCAGAGAAGAGCCCCTTGAGCCAGCTGGTCCTGAGGCTCACTGACTCAAGCCACACCAACACCAGCCAGCCTCAAGGACAGCACTACTAGAGCACCACAACTCAGACTCAAGCACAGATCAAACAGCAATATCTCACACACTGGGACACGCACACACAAACACAACAAACTGGAATGCCACAGAACCCTAAACAGACAATACACACTAGCCGAATATTTGACCAAGATAAGAAACAGCAAAAAGAAACAGACCCTGAGGAAGTACAGGCTCAGTGACCACAGCCTGGCCACAGAAACTGGGCGACACAGGCAGTCCTGGCTACCCAGAGAGGACAGGCTCTGCTTACTGCCAGCAGGGAGAAATAGAGACAGAGGTGCACTTCCTACTGCACTATGACAGATACTCTGGGATTAGAGAAACATTCTTCCCTAAATTCAGAAATCTAATCCCAGAGTTCCCACACCTGCCAGAATCACAACGGGTCCCAATCCTACTGGGAGAGGGAGGAGGGAACTCAATTGAACTGGCAGCCCAGTATGTGATCTCCTGTCACAGCCTGAGGAACAGTGAGTCTGTCTCCCTATAATGCTCCATCTGTCTACAGTATATGTAAATATTTTATGATATGTCTTGTGGCAGAGTCCTACAGAAAGAAGTTGATTGGCTCGGTGATGAATGTGACCAGGCCTTGAAGTGGTATTAAAATCAAAAACAAAACTCAGACAATAGATTCAGACACTGGAATCCAGTTGTTCTTTTCCAAAGACAGGTTGCCTGCTTGGTTCAACTTCCCTCTTCAGGTCTCAAATCTACATTTACTAACGCTACTACAGAATGGAGAATCTAGCAGAGAATGCCGAGAGGACCCGAAGACAGCTATCTCCAGTGAGCAGCGGTCACCTTGCTACTTATGCAGTGCATTTCCATCTATGATCTGTTTCCCTGACCATCACTGTCACATCTCGGGGAAAAGACTCTTGATCCAACAGGGAGGAAGCCATAGCCACCACCTGAACTGAAGCTGAAGAGGGCTCTCTCCTTAACAGCCAGGGCCAAAAATTAACCTCAGCATGACCTCCTGATAAGGGCTGTCAATACCTCCAGTAAACATCCCCTCCTTTAAAAAATAAAGTGCACTTAATTAAATCTATTTAGTGCAGTGCTCACTGGAGGGCTTTTTCAACATTAAATTGCTGGAATATTGTATGCAATATTGCAATAAAATTGCATGTTTAACTGATTCTCTTATACTTTCCAGTAGCTTCCTAAGATTTGTTTAGTATACGTATAGAAAAAATATGCACTAAATGCTCTCTGTTTAGTGTTTTATGATGTTTAAGTTTCATTTATCATAAACTTACATAAGTCATCAAATACTGCATTTTGTAAGTTGTGTATATTAAAAACAGAAAACACTACCATTTTCCCCCTAAAAAGCTTTCATTAAGTTTTGGCCTTAATTTAAAGCTGACAAATCCGAACCTCAGTTTGAGTCATTTGTACATATCAGCTCGAACTGCAGTTTATTCAGATCCACCATATATAAAGGGATCTCCACACTGACTCTTAACTTGCACTCCCAATTATTTATTAACTGAGCATTCAAGAACGAGATGCATGTGTAAATATTTCTTACACATTGGAAGGTGAGGATGCAAGTGTTCCCAATGTTAAAATGCCTAAAGCTTTTTAAATGTTTGCTCAATTATTAATGCTCTCATATTTTAAACTGGATCTGATTTTTGCTTTTTATACGTCTGCCTTACATTGATTTCGCAGTATTAATGTAGGGTTAAAAAGTATGAAAATTATAGAATATTTGCATAGCAATTGCTTAGTAAGTGCATATATACTTACACCCATAATCACAATATTTAAATATTTTTTAATGTGCATGTAACTACACATCTGACATGAAACAACTGTGCCAAACTGCAGTTGCAGAAACCAGTAAATTACACATTTATTATGTTGAAAAAAGCAATATAACATTGTAATTTTTTTTAGGTTTCTTTAGGTTCGTTTTATTTTATTGTAATCAATGGTGTAACAGAGGATAGAAGAAAGTAGCGATATTCAAAGTTAGGATGAACGGGAAGGGCTGTGGGTATTTTTGTCTCGATTTTCACTTGTTTCATGGGCTTCTGAAATTAAAATAAATTAAAATAATAAAATGATTTTAAAACTAATTAAAATTTCAAAACAGAATCTGATGGGGGGCCTCCCTCACCTTCAGGTAGCAGTGGGCGTAGCAATGGTGCAGCAGGTTGTCGGAGGGCTGGCCGAGGCTGCTGACCGCGCTGACCAGCTCCGGGGCGTACATCGGCACCGAGTGCTCCAGGTTCACCTTGTCCACCTGGATCCTCAGCGCCGGGAGGGGCCTCACCGGCTGGAACGCCGGAGCGCTAGCGGGCGCCGAGAAGCTCTGCGAAGGGAAAAAGACCTGAACAATATGGCAACGGCAACGCCACTCCGGAGTGGGCTGCTTTTGTGTGTACTTAACCAGCCGGCACTGCGGCCTCACAGTCCTGGGGCCCAGGGCTGCATGGAGTTTGTATGTTCTCCCCGTGTTCGCATGAGAGTCTTCTGGGCGCTCCGGTTCCCTCTCACAGCCCAAGGTTGAGCTGGAAAACCGGCCCTGATGCGCTTGTGAGCGTGCTTGTATGTGTGTGTGCCCTGCGATGGACTGGTGTCCCTGAATGAGATGAAGCGGTGAGCAAACAGACAGCTGGATGGATGCTCACTTAGCCCTTTTCATCACTCGAGGCGTTACCAGTGTAAAAGGTGGTTAGCGAGGTGTTCCCTAATCTCCTCTTGATGAACGCGATCGGGTGCGTTTTGTGTTGTGGTTCCTCACTATAATCGACCCGTGACAGTGCTGCTCCAGGACAGGAGCTGCTGTTACCTTCTTGCCCATAATCAGAGGCAGCAAGCAGTCCAAAAGGTTGAATTCAGCCATGGGGATGGTGATGGAGATTTTGAGCACAGTAAGAGAAGTCAGCCGAGTTGGGATGAATTCTTCCAAGGCTGCTACTTCGTCCGGGCTTGGCAGCACTCTGTTCTCATCCACAGTATCTGTATTAAAAACAACCATGCTGAATTTTACATTTCACCAATCACACCGTCTTTTCTTGAATCCTGGTGTCATACCTGTCTGCAGTGTACTGCATGTCACTCTCTGAAATAGCTCTGGACCAATATCAAAACTCCCACGCAATCCGACAACATTAATCAGAATCTCTCTGATTCCCATTTGGCTGTTCTGATATGAATTAGAATCTGTTTGTTTCCATTTATCAACCACAACATCCACATAAAATCAGGTCGCTAATCCACATATTTAAAAGCACTCATGAAGTAATCTGGATCTTCATACAATATTCTTCAGTCAAAAAAGAAAGATAGCAAAGCAAACATGCTGTCAGCATTTATTTATATGGGAAATCTCTGTACCGAACTGGGCAAAAATTGAAAACCATTGTAGATTCAGCCAATCTGGCTTCGGTTCCATAGACCTAATTTGGAAAGTCCTGTTCCTAGGCTCTTTGCAGAGAGGAACACAGCCGAGATTTGTTGTCTGACTGCCCCTAACATTACTGTTATCCACTGATGACAGTAATGCAATGAATCTCTTGCTAGGACTGCCTGGAACAAGATGACTGCTGTTGCTGAAATCACCGTCTGTTACTATTGCATTAAACCAAGCTTGCATATTAACAGAAAGAAGAGATGATTAATAATAACAGCTATTCATATTATATTATTTCAGTTTTCTTGCAGTGGATCGCCCTTCTTTTAACCTAATGGCATGCTCTCCATTTACCTCATTGCGGCATCCTTTCAGATCTTGCCAAGAGATCCTGGGTATTCCTCTGTATCATTTTTTTGGGGGGGACTGTATGGTATGTGTAAAAACAATTCTTAAAAAGGCAAATTCCTCATCCATTCCAGTGATGTTTTGGACTCACATCTAATAGAACATGCTAAATGATCTATATGTCAGTGACCTGCAACAACTTTTCCAGTTCTGCCAAATCTGCCGTTTAGGCAACCAAGCACTTTATGTTGGTGGAAACAGTGCCAGGACAATCGGGAGACAGCAGTTATTCCTGCATTAGCAACAGTGAAGAATCTTCTTCCCTTGCATTCCCGAACCCACCAGCATTTTCCCACATAGCTGTAGCCGTGTGAAATTGTGTCAGATCAAACTGTGTCAGCCATGAAAAGGTTTGGGTGGAGAAATGGCATTTATATCAGAGCACACTATTTTAAGCATAAATTCAAGCCCAATTTTAAAAGATTGTCAGCAGAGTTTGAAACACTCTAAAATAATCCAGTGCAGTCTCAAATTGGGCAACGTGGACAACGCTCCACAATATATGCTTACCAACTGAGCCATTATTCTGATGCTAGTACACAGTGCAGTGAGACAAAATTACAAGGAAAGGAAAAATAAAGTTGTTTTACTCCCAAAGACGTCTGCCGCACTGAATCTCAGACCAAAAATGGGCATTCTACCCTCCCCTTACTGCATGGTTCATAGATCTTCATCTTGTTTTGTAACAGGACAATCCACAAACAGGAACGCCAAACAGTTGATGAACAGAGAAGATCTAACAAGGATTTAAACAATACATAAATATCTAGCTAAGGGCTTGGCTCTCACCATAACTTGGGCTAAAAGCATGAAATGCAGGTCTCAGCGAGTACATCTCAGTCTGCGAGATGCGCTGCATTGTACAACGCATCACTGCACAGAACATGTAATTTCCCTCTAGCAGTACCCTGTCCAAGGTGTACAAATCTAACAAGATCAAAGCCTTCGCAGAGTTTCAATGGAATGAGTCTGCCTGTCGAAATGTGCTGAATGTGTTCAATTCATGTAGCATGTTAGGAGGTGCCAATTTCCAGGCAACACCATAGAAGAATAGGACACAGCTTTATTATACACAAAATGAAAAGGGAAAAAGACTACAAAGAGGCTACTTATGTGAAGCAGAATAAAGCAAAATGAACCTGCTTTAACACTGGATTCTGGTGTCAATAATGTTAAGGTCCCCTTCTGTGATAAACTCTTAGGGGATCTTCCTTTGGAAGCCTGGGCTTCAATGTCCTCCACTACCCAGTTCCCACAATTACTTCTCTGAACCCCCACTAAGATCAGTAAGAAAGGTGCGGCTGACTGGACTGCTGGGCTCGGACCTGGCTGTGGCCTGCTGTAGGGCTCATACTCATGGTCCAGTGCACAGGCCACCATCTTGAGGATTCTGTGCACCGCACTGCTGTGGAGGCGGACGTCCAGAGGCCCCACGACCAGTCTCTTCACTGACGTCTCCTGGACCATGGGGGGGCTGTCCTCTTTGTTCAGTGTGGAGAACTCCTGCTGACCCCCAGATCCTAGTCACAACAATAACAAGGAGAGAAAAAATATCACATATCATCATTGCTGGTAACATAATTAGGGTTATTATTAGTCATATCTGTTAAAGGTATCAGCAGCATATCTATTAATGACTTGCAGGGATAACGTGACTGATTATCAAATATACTGTGTAATTCAGGTACCATACTTGCAGACTGTGACCTTTGCAGTGATTTAGTACAGACCGTTTAAGAAAACTGTGTAAAATTTACACATGCAAGGAAAAATTTGTATTGTACAACGGATAATTCATAGCATGCAAAACAGATAAACCACAGCAGAATCTAATTTTTGAAACTAAACCACTTTGATATGCAACATAAAATAGCGACTCCTTATTTTTTTTAAAACCTGAACTTTGCTTCACTTGCTTACAGGGAAAAACAAACAAACGGAGAAGAGGTCAATTCAAGCTGTGTCCATCATTTAAAATCCTACAAGCATGAGATCTTATTTGCTTATTTGTGTCAATATAAGTATGCGGTTCATAGAATACAGCACATTTTACAACAAAACATTTTCTAGAGTCTTTGACACTCAATTGTTATGTATTGTCCGTCATAAGAACTATAAGAAGAAATTCACCTTGTTCTTCGTCTTTAACCAAAGGGAAACCATAATGGGGGAAAAAAAGAACTTCCTTTCCTGTACTTATTTCAGGTCTCTTGCATGCCAATTTTGGATTCCTTTTCTAATATGTTTAGGGTTCAAATTGTTCCTTGATTTTGTTTTTATATCGAAAGCATGCTAGTCAATATCATGTCCTTTTCTCATTTTAACTGCAATTCACTGAAACAAAAAAATATCTAAAATACACATATGGCAACATTTACGGCAAATAAAGAATTAAAATACCCAAATTAGTTGGGAATTTAAGAATTAGAAGTATCTACCGTTGTCTGCTACTAGATTACATTATTTTAATGTAAACCCAGCACAGAACATATCTTCTTCTTAACCTGAGGTTTGCTTAAAGCTTACGATAGTCCTGTGGTAACAGCACCTAATTTGTTTCATTAACACGAATCTGATAGTCTTGCCTTGCCGAAAGAGGTTAATACTGACTGGAAGGCATTCCGATCAGAACTATAAATTAGAGCTGCCAAAATGGGGAGATGGGCATGGTATCTCAAGTGAAAACAGTCTGACAGCTGAGGCTGACAGTATCTTGTGCCTTTTTAATTTAGATTTTTATCACACTCAGATAGGCAAAAAAGACCACTGTCAGAACAAGTAATGAGAAGGAGGAATGTGAAAGGGAAGTACTGTAGATTACAGATGTGATTAGCCAGGCGTGATTTTTCAGTCTTAAACCTTGTTATTTTAAATGTGGAAGAAAAGAATGAATTTCTATTATGTTAAAGCACCACTACCCCCACAAATCAACAGGTGTTAGAAAGTGACAATTATGATTTAATCAGCATAAAACATGTTGCTTATTTAACAAAACAGACCAGGCATATCAATAATGTAAACTGAAGAAAACCAAGTAACGGCAGCAATTGGTTTAAAAACAAATCATTCCACCAGGAAACTATTATTACTTCTGCTCATATTTACAATGCCCCTTTTGACATGTGGTCAGCATATCAATGTAGCATTTGCTACACAAACAAAATTCTGTGAAAGTGAAGGATTTCTTCTTTAGGCCAGTCTTTTCAGAAATATGTACGAGATGACAAGATTGTTTCAGGGAGAAACAATTTATAATGTCTACACTAAAAACGTATGAAACAATTTTTTACCATATTATTCATCAGTACCAAAGTCATACTTCAGGAAATCTGAGTCTCACACAATGCTTCAAACACCTAATGCATATAGTTACTACATATCAGTAAGACCTATATACTGATCTTCATTTTCAGAATTAAAAAAATATTAATAGCATAACACGTTAAATTATTCTTAAAATCCTACCATTAAGCCTTCACTGGCAACTGTCCAGCGCTCTTTTTCTCACAAACCTCTATTTCACGAAAAACCCACTGATGTCTCAAGAGGCTGAAATAAGTTTTAACAGAATCATCAAATTTGAGGAGAACATTTTCAATACTCAGAATAAAAGCCTTATGAGAAATCAATAGACACGTTTATTTTTTTAAGAGCAAACAATTGTGATACTTAAGAACTGATACAGAGGCAGTTGAGCACAACAACTCCGTTCCTCAGGATGACCTGACGTTACAACATGAGGATTTTAAGATGAGCAGGACAGACAAGAGAACTAGTCCAAGCCCTATATTTCTGAAGCCTGAAAAGAAACACTTTTAATTACAAGCAGCCATTCTTTATAATCTGAGAGAAAAAACATTCTTCATCTGACCTGAAACTCACAATGCACTGGGATCAAACCCAAAAAAAGGTGACGGACATGATTTGCAAAAGCATTCGGCCTGCTCTGGCTTTTTTTTTTTTGCAGGTGAAGCCTGAGACAAGCGTATCAACACGCAAGTGAAAGAAACTCAAATATCTGTCAGCACAGCTTAAATAATCCTGATGGCTAGCCTCCAGGTAAATTTGGGATACAACTAGGGACAGCGGGTCAAGGACCAAGGCAGCTGGGAAGAGTGAGGAGAGCTCTTTGTTTCTGTTGTTAAAGAGAAAGCAAACAACAGGGAGAAATAAAACAATACCTTTGCTGCTGCTGTTCTCCATTGTGTACAGGTAATCCATGTAGAAAGCACCAAAGCGCTGCATGCCAGCTATCTCTGTGTATGTCTCCTACCGACAAAGAAAGGCAAACAGAACTCAAGTTCCCCAAGGATGGATTTCACAGATTACACACTGGGCCTGCTGAGTACTATAGAGGGAGACATGCTTGCTTGTGTTTGCACACCCCCTCACAGTGAAGCTTATCAGCAGAAAAGAACAAGGGTTATCTCCCCCATCCCTCTCCAGATAGGTAATGCCACTTCAATTGAAGATCAAACACCACCACATCCAGAAAACGCCTTTCACCCTCAATTGTTATGTTCAAACCACAAGGTTAATGAGTAATATTTATTAAATGAGACGGGAGGAGAGGGGTTATACTTTTTAAAAGGTGAAGATGCTTTATTAATGAAACCCACGAATCAAGTGCTTTATAAGGTATCTGACTGCAATTTTAAAAAAGTACCAAATAAAAAAAAAATTAGGAAAACTACTTGAGAGACTTTCTTTAATAAACATTTCCTAAAACTGATTTATTTTTAATTCCCTGGCATTTGGGAATTTTCCTTAGATAATGGTATAATTTTAATGCTAATGGAATTAAGAAATAAGAATGCAGATTAAGTCACAACTTACTCAGCAGCAGGTACTGCAACAAAGTACAGTGGTTGTATGTTTATGAAGAAAGCTGATTTCTATATACAAGGATTGATATGAAGTTACCATTAGGACTCAGGCAGCGATAAGAAAATCAAGGGGGTGTCCTTGTAAGGCCAGTTTGCATCATGCTAAATGCACAATCCTGCCAGAAACACTTCTCTATTCATCAGAGTTCTCAGACAGGTTTTTACCATCTGGGAAAGGTGTGAAGTAACCAGCTGCCCAACTAAACCCTGTTTTTCCCTGCTGAGCACAACATTTCCACTGAATAAATAAAGGTCTATAAGCACATTTAAAAACAATCTTTGTATTCATCGCGATTCTAGTTTTTGAGCCCTGGTTTTCAAAGGAAAAAAAAAAACTTAAAAGCATGGGAACGCCTAAGAGACTTTTAAGAATGATTCAACCCGCAAACATGCTTTAGATAATCCGAAAGGAGCAAAAGTAATTTAAACCATGACATGAAAAACAAGGGAAGCATCTTGACTTGAAATGCCCACAGACATGAACGCTATAGATCAATCAAGCCCTGTGCAAATTCCAGCAGTGGCAAGTGTGCCTGACCACACCTGACTCGGCAGTGTGTGTTGCCTCTGTATATTAACAACTGTAACAAGTGAAAAAGGTAGAGTCTTGATGCAAACCCCATATCAGATAAGAGGTAATAAACCAATATTTCATTATGGGATCTCTTTCTATGGCTTTTAAGGACATTCCTACTATTCTCCAATGCTATCTTTTCAGATTAAAGGACAGTCTATCATTCTATAGACACAGCCCTATTTGAACAAAGTTACTAGAGGAAGTGAACATCTAAAGCCTCCATTAGCAGAATCTCTGTGAGCAGCCTTCCTTCCTGTTGTAGAACTGATATACTGTCAGTGGCAATTCAAGAAGTCGTCATAAGATGTTTCCAACCAAACCTTTTTCATATCAAATCATAAGTCGTTGAGAAAATCATTAGTACACTTACTAAAAATAAATCCAGAACACTTTCAAAAATGACTAAAAAAAGTTTTGTATTTTCAACTACCACTTTTACTATACTTGTACTTCACAGTTTTGTTGTCCCGCAGACCTTGTGATGAGTGGAATCTAAAATGAACTCCGCTCGAACACCATTGTTCTCCGGGCTCCGGTAATCGAACAGGGAGTTGGTGAGGTACGTCATCCCTTTACTGCTCAGGCTCTCCCCACAACTGAAGAAAACCGCATCCTTTAAAGCAAGGAAAACAGGGCTTGTGTTATTCACAGGGCATGACGTACATGCCATCAATACAGAACACGTAAAAAAAAAAAAAGAGGTCCCTTTTTAGGCGTTTTTGTTTTAAACTCCTTAGAAAAGAACAACAATCTTTCTATTTCACCTGAACACAATGTCACAATAGACTTAGCCTCCCTGCTCTTCGAAACCAGCTGAAGAAAGCTGGCCTACAGTGCAGGAGATGTGTTCCCATGCTTACCTCTTCACATCTGTTCATGTTCTCCTCAAAGTCTTTGACTCCCATGATGCCCTTCAAGCACAGAGCTCGGCAGCCCACAATGCCAATCTGGCAATCGAAGAATGGATCTCCCATGATGAGAACCTACGGCAGAGAAAGACGGCCCTGCTGATACCTTCACAAAGTCAGAGAGACTAGAGGGAGATTCTTCTGACAACTTCGTTATATTTGCATGCATCATTTCTTTCACACTAAAATGCACAGATTTAGCACTTTATGTCCTAGAAATAGGAAAGCACACACTGCTGTTTTGACAGTTGGGAGTAAAATGTTTATTATAAGGAAAAGATTGACAGCAGTGACTCTCTGATGGTATAGCTCCTAGACAGTCAGGAAGCCTGGAGTTATTCTTCTTTTTATTATCTTCACTCAGCTCAGGAGAAGGACATGCACAAAATCCTAGTTAGACTAATCTTGTTCATCTCAAGCTAAGTTTTGCTATGTTTTGGGTGACATCAATATTTTCTAAGAGAGTTGCAAGTGTTATTGGACCCTTCTGTAAAAGCATAAGGGTAATCATCTCAGTAAAATAAACATGATATAGTTACAGAACAATACTGGCCATAAAAATTGAAAACAGAATTCCAGAAAACCCTTCAATGGTACAGAATATAATTGAAAAATTACTTCATTTAGAGACTTAAGCGAGACTGTACTTTTGTTTCATTGGATAATTGGACTACTTTTAACAATATTATTGGTATATCCTGCTGTTTAACAAAATTAAATTATCTTAATGCACTGTAAAAAAAAACCTTCTATTCAACAAACTGTAGTGCTGTACTCATGATGAGTACACCAGAATCCCCAAAATAATACATTACCCTGGTATAGACTAATTTATCAGCACAGAATGAATCCCTTTATCACACTCTTAATGGGGTCAAGAAATCTAAAGATAAAAAATACTAGAGACCATGTCAAACTTCTCAATTCTTTTCAGTTTACAGACCCAAAAAGAAAATATTTTAAATAAAACACTTTCTTTTCCTCACTCGTATGTAAATGTGCATCCAAAAATCCACGGGGTCAAATTCCTTTATTTTGTGTATTAGAAGTTGTTTACTCTTCCAGAGAATGTATACAATTGTGTCGATATTGTGAGGAAACCCATATTTTCAGGAATGAAACTCCTACCTCAACAGTAATTCCCTCTTGCACCAGACAAAGTACTTCCCTGGACTTCACCTTCTGGGGGCTATAGTAACTGCTTTCAGCTTGCATTTCTGTGAGCTGTAAAAAAGCACGATACAGATCTTGAACGCCCGTTGCATTGTTGCCTTATACAGCAGAAATCTGCCATTAGTGTAAAGACCTGATGAAGACAAATTAAGCAGCGCAATCCGCCAATTTTACTTTTGCACAGGAAACAGGTGCAGAAAAAAACAGCTGCAACTTATTATCCACATTAGAGAATAAACCTTTTCTTGCCCAATACGTTGATTTAATCACGTGTGGGTAACGCCACAAGCTTCCCAGCAGCTTGAAAGTTCATGATGAACCTTCTTCAAACAGAACAATCCATTTCACAATCGCACCATGCCTTTGATGCCGTGTGCTTAGACGCTAAGTGCTGCTGATTCATTCTACAGAGACAAAAATGCCTGTGTTTTAAGAATTTCACGCAACCAAGGGTCTTTCTAAAACAATATGGAATGTACCATAATCATTTTTAGAACCAATTGCCTATTTGTCTGCAGAGAGTCAGAACCATTTCACAACTACAGTATACCCACATTAAAAATAATACTACAAAGGAAATAGCTATAATTATAAAACAGTAATAAAGCATGGATCCTTATTATACAAAACTTAATATTAAAAAAGGAACAATGTTTTTCAATAGCCGATACTTTATAGGCGAACATACATGTAGGCATTTATACATAGCTGTTTTGTAGGAAATGATATTCTGAAACATGAAGATCTCTTGGGGAACAATAAGAGATACATTTGTTTTTTTCATTAAAATATTATTTCTGCGTTATAAAGTAAATCCCACATTATAATGTAAAGAGTTTTTTAAAATATGGATTTATTGGGCATTTGCTTAACTGCTACTTTTTTCAATTTACTGGTATTAACTGACCGGCTTCTGACATACCTCTAGCTTCCACTACATAGTCACTCAGCATATATACAGTAAGTACATGTGGTAACTGTTCAAAACTAAATTCCACAAACTAAATACTTAAGCAAAACTTTGGCATTAAAAAAAAAACTGATCACCCTTCAGCTGCCTGCAATTATTTCAGAGGGAAAGCAATTAATTGATTAAAAGAACTCAAACAAGAACAATTTTAAACATTATTAGAAAAATGCAAGGCTTAATTTGGCATGATTTTAAACTGGAAAGCTACCAACTCTTCTGAATGCTAATGCAGAAATGTGACCTAAGGGTTGCAACCAAAACTGAATCCAAAATTAATTCCATATATTCTAAACAAGTGAGGAGGATAATTCTGCTTGCCCCCAAATAGCCTTAACATGAAAATGACCTCCAAAGAGAGACCTCAAGCAAGCCGATTGGTAAGGTTCCACACAACTATAAAAATCAAATCAAACTTCTGACAAAACACTTATGAAAGCAGTTTACAGAGTTGGAAACATAATGGAATGGAATTACTAGTTACTGCCTGTGCTAATGATTCATGTTTATTCTCAAGACAAAAAGAGAACAAAGCCTTGCTGAGAAATCTTCCAAAAACCTGCACGAATTTTTAGTTCACTTCAGAATGTAGTTTCTCCCCATACCATGGAAGGAGCAAGATAAACTGACGCCAAGGAGTCATTATCAATGCTTTCAACAGTAGCCACAGCAAAATACTGTTTCTTTCGATCGGTGTGTATTTTCTAATACTTCTAAACAACGAAGTAAGAGGTGCTTGTTCAAGAGGAGGAGTTGCAAGTTCACAAAAGTTGCCAACTTCCAGAGGAAAATACTACTTCCTGCCGAGCATGTCAGGTCAGGGCTGTCTAGAATTAAAGACCAGGACCGATTCCCACTCCAGCACCTCTTAAAACAAAGCGAGCCCCCAACAGTGCTGACGAGAGGTTGTTTTTTTTTACATTCATCGAGAGGGTGAACGCCATTCCCCGGCCTCAAAGCTGGGGGGTTGCCGTTATCACCCCGACCTTGCAGAGCTCGCCTTACCTTGAAGGTGACAGAGGCCTTGGTGCAGTAGAAGCCAATTGAGATAATGGGGTCCTTGGGGGCATGGCGTCTGAGGCTGCGTTGCTGCCCATCCTCCACCACCTGCTGGTAATAGCCCCCCTCCTGCTCCTCCTCCTCCTCCTCCTCCTCGCCGGTGCTGACGATGGCAGGAACGAAGGACCAGGCCCAGGACACCCAGCCCTGGTCGTCCTCCTGTACTCCATGCTGGAGGTACAGCTCCGGGTTCTGGTACTGACCAGCGTGCAGAGCCGGGCCGTCGGCCTCCCCCTCCCCACCTGTCGGCAAAGCAGGAAGGAGTCAAGGGCAAGGCACTGCCAGCTCATCCTGCTGCCCGGCCAGCAGCACCGGAGCCACGGCGACTTCGGCAGCCCTCAGCACCCTGAGCCCACACAACCGCACTGACGGAAAGAGCTCTCTTTCACCATCGCAAATCGTCCGAGAGACTGTGCCGAAGAGCTCGTTGGGCTTTGCAAATGACACGCTACGGTCAGCCAATGAACTTAAATTCTGAACGAACCTGGAAAACCGCCCAGGGACTGGGAGGAAGTAAAATAAGAAAATGTTTCAAAAAGGTTGATGAAAACTTACATGTAATTACCCATTTAAGAAACTTCACAGAACACAGGCACAACGGGCCAAAAAATGTGAAATAACAAAGAAATGAGGGCTGCTTGGCCAGTGTTTACAAGATCATTTCAAGTGGGACAATAAATGCAAGTAGGAAGACTTGAGTCTTGAGTGTGAAGCTACTGACGCTGGAAGTGGGAGCAAAGCCCTGAGGGTAGAGTAGCAATTATCTCCTGCAGCTCAGGCAATCCGCTCTAATTGAGACCGCTGACATCCCATGTCTCTGAGCTACTCCGTCCAACTGACAAGAACGGTTCCAGCCACACATCTGCCAAAATACAACCTGAAGCAGCAGGACACAGTCAGACCCCACTTACTGAAATAGGAGGAAAGGGACTGAGTTTGTGCTGTAGGTCAGGCCGCTTTTAATGCCCTGCTTGACCTCTGAACCCTTCACATAGTGTATATTTCCATGCACGCTGTAAAAGTCAGCTGATGTCAATATGCAAGAACGCGTAATCCCATTCCACAAAGGCCAATGTCTCGGCGAGAAAACATCATCACTGAGATCATTTCAAAAAAACCCAAGAGGCTTAAAATGGCAAAAATGACAGATTTTAATTAAGTTTTTCCAGTCAGATGTGGCAGTTCCAAGTCCTACAATATCCTAAGTGAAACACTTTGAGGTGTCAGGTTTATACATGAATCCCTTTAATTTCAAAGACGGCAGGGAACACCCCAAAACATCATAATATGATAAAAAAGGCTCAAAATGAATAAGTCCATTATTAAAAGCAATTACAGCAGGCAAGCTACTGAGGTGTTTAACCTCAGTAACGGGTCATTTCCAGGTCAATGCAAATCTAGAAGACAGCAGATTGAAATTCACTGCTCTCCTAAAGTAGTGGGACAACAAAAGTCGAAAAGCAAAAGGTTATTTTTGCTTTACAGTCAATAAATGTGAATTTGTGACCACGGGATATTGAGGTGAACATGCATGCCGAAGTCAATACATTCGCTCCACTGTGCATCACAATCTGCTCCGAAGTACAAAGATGAGCCAGGAGAGCTTCAGAACCAAGTTTCAAGGACAGATCCAACTCTCTCCTCTTTGCTGACGATGTTAACTAATAACTGACGGCAGCTGCAGATAGAATTCTGAAGCTTAAAGAAACATTTGGCTTTTTTATCTAGAAGAAAATGCATCTTCACTTACTGGGCAGGGCTTTTACCATGCAGCATGACAAGGACCCAAAACACATGGCCAGAGAAATTTAGGAGTTTAATCAGGACAAAACCAGATAATCTAGTAACGTCAATCTCCAGATTTACAACCAATTTACAACCAAGCATTTCACATGGTGAAGAAAGGACTAAAGCAGGTAAACCCTAAGAATGGGCAAAACATCTCAAAAGATTACACAAGGAAGACTGGAGAGCTTACACTTTGCTTACACTTATATATAGCACTCCCGTCCACCACCACCACCAATGTGCAGACCCACCTGGATGATGCGAGGGCAGCCATAGTGCACCAGAACACTCCCCACACACCAGCTCTCAGTGGGGAGGAGAGCAGAGTGATGAAGCCAATTCATAGATGGGGACCATAGGGTCTCAGACATCATGCAGTTGTTGCCTCAAAGGGACATACAACCAAATACTTTTACACTCTGAAATTTCCGCTTTGAATTCAAAGCATGTTTTTGTTTCAATATGATCAAATCCATGAATGAGCCAAAAATCAAACACAACAGCGTACATATGATTCGTATTAATCTCACGCTCCCAAATACAAATCACCAGACTCTAAAGCAAAAATAACAGCTTTGCTGCCCCAATACGTTTCGTGGGCACCACACATAAATCTCCTTCACTTCTTTCTTTGGCCAGATGTATTGCTTTTCCAGTTCCTTATCAAAATATAATGTGAACTTTTAAGAAATTCCAAATGGGTTCCTTACAAGTAAATCTTTAAAGAGAAGTGCCTGAAGGCCCCACACACCTGGAAGCAGGTTATTAGACTGAAGCCAACACTGCGTGCTTACTCAAACCTGCTTCTGCTCAACTTACCTGACCTACCTTTGATCCCTAGTTCAAGTAGTGCCCTCAAATGCCAGTAGATGTCCCTCCTTGTTTACAGTGCAAGTCAAACGCCTATGTGCCCGATAATGTGCCCACCTTCTAACACTTTCACATACCTGTTATCTCTAGTGCAGAATACAGTAAGCTGCCCACCTGTCTCGGATCAAGCCACAGACCACTGGGTACCATCTGGTCACGACTTTCAGAAAAAATAATTCCTTGATATCTTTCTTTACTGGCAAAAGCATCACCGCAACAAGATTATCATCCACACCCAGAAATTATTAGTGGACAGATTTAGTTATTTTGCTCTAACAAGCTTAACTTAAAGCCTGGCTTTCTTTTTCGTACTCGTACACTGCTATTTAAAATGACCGCTTCCTACTCAGTCTAACACGCTACCGAGCACATCGCACAGTAACACATGCATGTCTGCGTTCAAAAGAACCACAACTGCCAAAAACAGCCATCAGAGGTTAAGTGCCAGCAGAGAGACAGAAACCACTGACACAGCCCCGTACTGCAGGGTCCTAGTCGGCTATGAAGTCATTCTGGGATCGCAAATACTTCCCACTCCACCCTCACAAAACAGAACTACTGGGGTTTCTTGGTCACAGTCAGCCAAGTGTTAAAGGTGTTAAAGCCTGCAGGTGTCACTGAGCACTCTGGGGTAGGAGGCTCGCAGATAAGCCACTTAAAAAAACAGTCCCTCAAAACTCTAATTTTTTTATTTAAAAAGGAAAACATAATATAGCAAAGACCGTTTATTCCATATTTATAGGAACTTTTGCCCCTTCCATCTTTAAAATGTTAAGAGCTGTTTCATATAATTTGCCTTTAATTTCACTAAGTGCAGTTTTGTCTTGACAAACTCTGTCCTTTATTCAAATATGTGAAAAGCATTTCAACAGGACAGGCACCCTGCCTGTCCGAAAGGGTGTCTCCGTTACAAAGCAAACAAAATGACACTTCCTATTGGGAAAACTCCTGATATCTTTCCAAACAGCTTCAGTTTTATTTTCAATGACTTTCCTATTTCACAAAATGAGATTTTTTTGTGACTAGCCCTTTCGTTTATGAGCTTTAGTCATCCAAATTTCCAACAACTACACTTTTAAAGATAACGTCGATATCTTTTGATAATCTTTGGTGGAAAGATAATGCTCTCTGTTTAGATGCTTTAATATTATATATTATATATAATTATAATATATAATAATAATTACATATCTAATGTGGTGTTTTTCTCAAGTGTTCTTAAAACAAAACATTAAGACTCAAAAGCTCTGAAAAGCTAGTAGTTCATTAATTAAACAATAAAACACCTTATAGAAGGTAAATTAATATTCTTTTTGAAACAGCTTATAGATAAACCAAAGATAATAATTAAATGAGAGAAGAGCATGATTCGCCCTTTACTGTGATAAATATTTCATTACTTAAATTGTTTTAATAATTTATTTTACTACCACAGCACTTTTAAAACTGATCTAAAGCAACCTACAGTAAAAGGACTCGATTGGGATACTAAACATATTGTATCAACATCTACACAAAGTCGTTATACTTGATCGCCGTTTGGAAGATCTGTTGATTAGTCATTTAAATACAATGCAAATTTCATACGGATTTCTACTTTTATCTCAAGATAAATGTTCTACAGTCCAATTCAAGTAAACATTAACGTAACAAGATCTCAAACACTCGTGTTCCAAGAGTTAATCCCCTCTTGTATATTTTTGTGATAGGATACTAATTCACTCTCCGAGTTCCACATAGCAGTAGCATGACACTGAATCTTACATCTGGCTTTAAAATGGGAATGTGATTCATGCCAACTAGCACTACAGTTCTGGCAGATCACATTGCACTGCCCACATCCCCCTACATAAATTAAACTTTTGCAACAACTTATTTCTCTGTACAGACAGTGCCAGTGCATCTTAATCCCATTTAGTGGGACTTTCAGAGCAGGCTGAAATTGCTGGATAACGTTACAGTAGCAAGGGCGTTCCTTCACATGCTAGCAAAATACTCTCCGCCATTACTTTCAGGTACTCATTTTTCATCTTGCATCCAAGGTTCTGTTCTTCTCTCATCACACAAAACCAGGGACAGCGATTCCACAGAACAACCGCCTTTCCACAGTGGCTTTCCCATGTTCATCTGTGGAAAACACAATACCTGCAAGCTTATGTAAAACTTCAGGTAACAAGAACGGCCTCGCCCTGTGTGCAACCTTAAGTCTAGCTCATCCGGTTACCAGTAGCTAAGCAATCTGAAAAACTCATCCAGCCATTTCATGAAAGAAGCCACAGTTGAAGGCTCCCTGTACCCTTTGTGTAGAAAACATTTCCTATTCTAGTCTTAAAATACATTTCCTTATAATTTGCACTTGTGTCCTATGGTTTGTCATTCACTGCTCTAAAGAAGTGCATTGGGCTTATTTTATCTATACCTTTTAATTTTAAAATATAATGTTCACAAATTTTAAAATGTGCAGTCTTCTGTTCAAGATAAACAGAATAACTTTTATCCGGTTAAAGTAGGACATTGTTTTAATCTACTTAGAAACCTACCTTAGCTGCTATACTGGAGACTAGGGAACACTGCCTAATTAAAAAGTTGATGTTTTTTATTAAAGGACTGTTTTTTTTTGTTTTCACTAGTGGCTTTAAGATGATTGATCCCTATGTATTGACATCACACTTCTTAACAATTTTAAAATTTAGCGGAAAAAACATTATTCTGTGACATTTATATTAATAACACAGATTTGGCTTATGGATCTTTTCTTGTTATTTCTTGATTCAGACGTACATATTAAGCAGAAAAGACTTGTCTTTCACAGCTGTCGGACAATAAAAAAGTTTTTTTTTTTACAAGGACACGCACATCAGTTACCTTAAAAAGATAAAGGATAACAATCCATATTTGAACGTTTCTGCAATAAAAGACGACTTTTAATCTTGGGTTTACATTTTAAAAAATGATAAAGCCTGTTGTGCATCTTTTTTATCCCAAATGAATGCATTTTTACACATATCTGAGAAGTTCCACAGAGGAAACAATAAATGTAAGGAAACAAAATGCTGTTCATACCCAGAGCAGTATGATATCACTATTTACATAATACTTTCACCATAATCTGCTGCTGAATCTTTTAAAAGGGAAACCATCCATCGCCCACTTGGAATTCCAGTCACACTCACCAGGAATGGTGATCACGGTTTCCCTGGCATGGCTGCACATCTCCTCAGCTTCTCCCTCTTTGTGACTGCCTATCTCTCCATAGTACAGGGCAATACCGAGCTCCATTATGCGGATGAACATGGGGAGTTGCTGGTCTGTAATAGAGAGCTTCAGACATTCCACCAGTGTCTGGATCTGGAAAGAACCAAACAAAGTCATGACGTCCACTTCTGATGCCATCAGATCAGTCAGGTTGATTGTCATCAAGCATAAGGAGGAAATGGACAGATTCTTAATTCCTTCAGCAAATTTTAACGTTCATCTCAGTTATTCAACTGACTGAACTTAAATCAGAACACAAATTTTAGGTACGATTTCAAACACAAACACAGTTTACAGATCCATCAGTAATTTACCAGCAAAGAACGTTATGCTTACTAATCTTCTTTAAATCCTGGCAGAAAAACAAACAGCAGCTTTGCTTCTTTACTTTTAAACTCAAATTTCTTCAGTTAAGAAATTAAGTCATCATAATTATAGTTGAAGTGAAACAAAAAAAAATGTTTCCTATATTGAACATAAGATCTTCCAGCACCAGGAAGTCTACCTCCCGCTGTATTTTCTCCTCAAACAATTTCCTAATGCATGCCCGGTAAACAAAATGAAATAGTACTCAAGAAAACGTATTTAAAATGCTTAATGCAGTGTATTACCACCCTGCAATGTACAGCAACCTAAGCAATCAGGGTCATAGCTTATACAGCAATCAAATTCTTAACCATTCAAAAACGACATGTGCTAGATATTAAGACAGTGCTGACCAAAATTGAATTATTAACACTCCCATGTCACATTCCTTGCTTTAATACTTTCCTTTTCAAATAAACAGTGACAGGCTGCACGGAGTAACCTTAAAGGATCTGTGTTATTGGAAGAGAAGCCATATTCTAGGGCTTACTTTAATAACAGAGGGTATCTTGGAGTTGATGTTATCGTAAGTAAAGTGCAGTCGAGTTCGAAAGGAGCACTTGTAGAGAAGAGGATCCTGGTAGAACTCAATCTTCCCGCTAGCGTTCCGCTTATCAAGGCACACCGTGCAGTCGGAGAAATTAATCACCTTCCTTAGGACCAGATCAGGAGCTGAAAGGAAAGCAAAAAAAACACGGAATCAAAACAGCACTTACTGGAGGCGCATGCATTCAAAAAACACGTTTGTGGCAAATTCCAACTACGAAATGTACAATGAGTGGCACGTCCCAGACCCATTATTTAAGACAACCAACAGTTTGGAACACGTGACTCGGAAATGCCCTATTCTGGATTGCAGCAGAGAGATCGTTCAATGTTGCCATCTTTCATTCTTATAAAGGTCAGACTCGAAGTCTTGTCGATGTCCCTTTCGGACAATTACCGGAGATGTCCATGAAAGCCCGGTCCCAGAATTCATCCACGGTGTAGCACTCCGCTGACGTGATGTTCACAGACAGCACTATGTCATCCTCCACGTACTTCAGGATGAGGTTGTTGACAACGATGTTCACATTATTCACCACCCGTCTGATGAGGCTCTGCACGTAACCTGGAAGACCGAAGCAGCAGGCACGGTCAACAAGCCGGAAGGCAAACCCTTAACACGTGCTCAAGGGATGTACAATTCACAGTGACATAACATTCATCAATAAGATGGTTGCAAGAGGAGGCATGTGCAAACAGCTGAGTGAAGTTAATGTAGCTCCATAAGCTGTCATGACAATGATGCTATGCAGTCTCACAGTCCTTGGATAGAGGGACACAGCCAAAACAACCAAAATCACAAATTATGGTCAGGAGCTCCAGTCCAAAAAAGTATGTTTAGGAAAAAGCTTTATCAGCTTTGCAACAACAGGAAATGCATTTTAAACACGCTGCCGATACATGGGATCAAAAGAATTAATGAATCCCACCCCCTTGATATTTTTAAGCTATGTTAGTCACAGGTAGTGGTTAGGCCTGCGGAACCCTAAAGCATTTTTCACTTGGATTAGTCTGGTAAAATGCTCCATTGTGTAAACAGGTACAGATCTAAATCACTTTGAATAAAAGCACCAGCCAAAGAGTTAGTTTTTTATCAACTATTCAACACAGACTTCCAAAAAAAACCGACCTCTCTTAGTGCTCATGGGTAACAAATGCCTTTGCCTGTATGTGAGAATGATATGCAAAAGAGCACAATCCAGAAACACGGTGCAAAACAGAAAGTCAAATTGTTGCACCAATTCCAACTGAAGTCTATTTATTCAATGTAATTCAATGTATTCAACCTCAGGTCTCAATGCAAAGCCAACATAACCGACCTATACAGTCTACTCAGACTCATAAATAAACACAAGGCCTGACGCATTAACTCTGTGTTGATCTTTGTAACCTTTGGAAATGAAGTGCAAAATAAATGGCAATGTCTTCAGAAGTTTCCAGACCTTTGCACTGTTTTCACATCTTTCTGCTTTAAAGTTTGCAGCCACGACACTTTGAAGTAGCAATTAATATCTGCTATAAACACAAACACAAAAAAGAAAGCAAATAAAAAATAAAAGGAATGATGACCTAAATATACGAACCCTCTGCTATGGAACATCTACATTTATTTAGGTGCACAAAATCACCTGAATACTCCACACAATTAGACTTTGGAAAAACCAGAGCTCAATGGCTGAGAAGTGAGAAAATGGTCAAAGCTGACCTATATGGCTAGGTGGCAAGAAAGAAGGCATTACTGGGAAAAAAAACATCTCAAAATCCTGCAGGGAGCTTGCAGAAAAGCATTTAAGCGATACTGCAGACATGTGGCAAAATTTGTTGTGGTCAGACAAGACAAAACTGGAACATTTTGGTGTGAACGCCAAATGTTATGTCTGGTGCAAACACATCACCCCGTCAGCACCACTTGCACTGTCAAGTGTGGTGGTGGCATCATTAAGACGCAGTTCTGCTTCTCATCAGCAGGGACTGGGAAGCTTGTAAAAGACTTGAAGGGAAAGTGGACCTAGAAAGAAAACCTGCTTCAGTACGCATCTAAAATTGGGATGAAAATTTCACCTGTCAGCAGGAGAATGACCTGAGGCATAAGGCCAAACCTACCCTGGAGTGGTTCAACTGATGTTCTCCAGAAAACGTGAGAGCGGTATAATATTGTTTATCTCAGGAGACTTCAAAAGTGTGGGCCTGTTATATTCTGCAACAGCTGTTTCCACTAGACTGCACTTTCTAATCCAAAGCAATACCACGGTGACACTGTACTGCAGGAAGTGGCATCCTTGATATTACAATTCTGAACCATATCTTTGCTTGCTGTTTGGGGACTCCAGGTTACAGTCTTCTAGTGAGGTGGCCCAGTCTCAAACGGGCAATGTCTGGATCACAGATATCAACCAGTGCTCATGGTGAGCACCTTTACTGGACCCCAAAACACAGTGGATCTTTTAAAGCCTGCCTTACTTGCCATGATCTCAGAGTAGGATTTTGACAAATGAATATACAAATGAACCTCCACAAAATGTAAGCAAAATAATAATGGCATTACACAAAAGTATTTCAGAGACATTTTCTGCATGTGTTTGGGCTTCACATAATAATAATAATAATAATAATAATAATAATAATAATTGCTTACACTTATATAGCGCTTTTCTGGACACTCCACTCAAAGCGCTTTACAGGTAATGGGGTCTCCCCTCCAACACCACCAATGTGCAGCCTCACCTGGATGATGCGACGGCAGGCATAGTGCGCCAGAGCGCTCACCACACACCAGCTATCAGTGGGGAGGAGAGCAGAGTAACGAAGCCAATTCAGAGATAGGGATTATTAGAAGGCCATGATTGGTAAAGGCTAACTGGAAATTTGGCCAGGACGCCGGGGTTACACCCCTACTCTTTTCGAGAAACGCCCTGGGATTTTTAATGACCACAGGGAGTCAGGACCTCAGTTTTACATCTCATCCGAAGGACGGCGCCTGTTTACAGTATAGTGTCCCCGTCACTATACTGGGGCATTAGGACCCACATGGACCGCAGGGTAAGCGCCCCCTGCTGGCCCCACTTACACCTCTTCCACCAGCAGCAGCCTTAGTTTTTCCCAAGAGGTCTCCCATTCAGGTAGCTGCAGGGCAACATGGCTGCTGGATATGCAAACAAACAATTTGCAAGTACTTACAAGTTGTGCCAATGACTATAAGTAATACAGCAATGCCTCTGCTGTAGACTACACATAGACTGAAACTGCCACTACCTCAGAGAGTGACGTAATTAAGAATCACACCAGAAAATAATTTGTTAACTGATGCTCAGGTACCACTTGACACTGCATGCCAGACTGTCAAGTCAGACGCCTTACAATTTTTTATCATATATGCAGCAAGTGTGCGACACAATCAGGAAACCTTGGAGAAAATAAAAAAAGGTCTTGGAATATCTGACCCTAAGGTCCTTGAGGACACAAGGACATTCCTCTTTCTAGTCTTGATTATACTGGCCTGCTTGTTCCAAACATTATACCAAGGGCAGGTGATCAAGAATGTGATATTTTTAACTTCCAACAGCCGCACATGTGGCACAGTCATGCAGAACCAAATGCTCTTTTCTGACTTCATATTTGCTCTCTGCATTCATCCGTCTGCCCCAGCAGTGTCACGGCAGTTAAAAAAATACTCTTATTTGCAACAGGGATCATATGAGCCAGAGCTCTGCAGCTCTCTACTCAGGTTTGAAATGCACCAAGGGAGCCTGCCTCCAGCTCTACCAGCCAGCACTAATGGTACACCATTACCGAGAAACAGAAGCTCACAAGGAAAAACATACATGGTAAGGTCATTACTCAACAAAGCAAGAAAGAACTTAAAATATTACAGACAGGGGAGTTTAAACCATAAAATATGAAAATATACAGCAATAAATCCTCTTAACCACAGGACCAATGGTATTATTCATTTCTCCCATGTACTGTTAAACCTAGTCACTGAGAGTTAAACATATAAAACTTTAATGCCTTTTCCTTATTTTCCAACTAAAATGTTTGCTTTCCTGCATGTACACGTCTCTCTATGGCTGTGACAGCTATGAAGGGTATTAACAGCGCTGGCGTCCTTTTAATTAAACAGATGGGCAGCTCCGCCCAGTGCCTTTGCCGCACCACCATCCACACGCGCTTCCCACGTCTACGCAGGGAAGGCACCTCCTTGACATCTTTCAGCTCACGTCATCACGGCCAACTCTGCCAGAAGCAGGGAAGCAGACATGTTAAGCACCAAACGTGACCCAGTCAACAGCTGCAATGAAGACTGCTTTCAGTTCTCTGCAGAGTTCCATTCGAATTCGCGGACGTGATGGCTTTTAGCATCTTCACCAGTGACGGTTTCATCCCATTGGTCGGGAATAAAATGAAAACTGGAAGGACAGACTCGAAATCTTCCCCGTCTGAGTGCAGTCTGCACAGGTCAAGCAACGTGCTCAGTACCGCACCTGCAGACGGGCGGTAAAACCAGCACTTTGCCCCCCTGCTATTCGTAGCTCTGGATCTAATTTGCCAAGGCCAACACGCCCGCTGCTCGAAACCCTGCCCTCCCGCGATCGCGCCAGCCTGAACTTCTGTCAACAATTGACACAGCCAGCACCTGCATAACAGCCCACAGGGAAGAAACACACTTAAAACTGCTCAACCATAAAATGACTGGAAAAACGAACTCCTTTATGTGATCCCAGTACAGGCAAAGTACTCTCATCAGTGCAATACAGGAAAGAAATACTATACTGTCCATGTTCACGTTTTCCTGTGTACGGAAAGTATTAGCAGCTATTAGTAGTGCCAATTATTGTGCTGCTTAGAACAGACTGACAGGCTGAAGACAACCAAAGCTACATATAATATGTTAAATGAGCACACTTAAGACTAGCAATCATTAGTGATTAATTATAAATATAATGTAAATATTAAAATGTAATATTGCTTAAATGTACCATCCTATTTCAAGCAAGATGTGTAATTCACAGAACTGTGAAAACCCTCTTACATCTCACAGGATTTGTCTTCCAAGAGCTCTTATTAATCTTATTAATTAGATACAATTCAGAGGCTTTCCAGAAGGTAAAAGCCTTTGTATTGCATTCCTACCCAACGTAAGTTATGTATTGTATGCAAACCTATTAGGCTATATAGCCTAAATGTTGGTTGCATCTTCCCATTTCTTCCTGGATTTATTTTCTAGAAAGGGCTTTCAACCTTTTGACACTAGGGTCTTTCCACAAGCTCAGCTCTAATGAAATCAAATACACACATATGCATAGTCAGCAAAGGTCATGCCCAACTTCCAGAGATTGCTCATGGAAGAAAAAGCCGCATCTGACGTGCTAGAAAGGGAAATCAGAACATTTTCCAGACAGACAATCTTGTTCTAATTCGAGTGCCGCAGACTAGAGCGTTATTACTCACAAACATGCATCCAGAAAAGATGTTCATTGCTTCCACTACTTGAGAAAAAAAAAAACAGTTTGATATGTAGAACCCACCTCCTTTGCCAGAGGCCAAGGAAGTATCTTAAAAAAAAAACATAAATGAAGAGGATAACTTAAACCTGCACTCTGGGCTCCGAAATATTCGATACACCACTTGAAAACATGATATGTGAAGGCCAAAATTATACATTACCTGGCAGGTTAAAACCGAGGAAGATGATGTCAGCATTAAATGTTATCGAATGTGTGAGTGTGAGATGTAGTGGACGGTGCAGCTCTCCCACAAGGTTGTTAAGATGTGTTTGCCAGGAGTGTGACAGTAGCTTAACATGATATTACCAGGATTCTGATCTAATTACATTGTGGCAAGTACATTTTGATGTGATAAGAGCAGGTTGATGTCAGTGGGCGTGATGGAGTAGTCATGAGCTGAGTGTAAAGACCTGCAAAATACATATTGTGATGCTTTCTGGAACAATGGCATGGAATGTTTTTATTTATGAACATAAAGCTCCATTTACTTGCAGATCTTTCTTCTTTTAAGAAAGAGACTGCAACCTGGCCAGCAAAGTTATAAAGGGGAAAGTGGGGCTCACCCACCATCAACCGCAAATTGTGACAGTGGACAACACACTGACCCCCTTTGCTCTTTCTGTACCAGTGGGGCAGAGGCAAACAAATGCTGCAAAACAGATGTGCCATCTTGCATGGGCCAAACAAATAGCTTACCAGGCTGCCAGCATGGGAAAATGCATGTATTTAATTTTCAATAGGTATGTGACAATGGCGCATATATTTGAAAACCACAATTGTTAGCAAACTCCGGTGGCCAGCAGTTTCACCACAAGCAACTGGCAACATAATCACTTTCAGGATAGCCTAAGGTGGAATAATTCAAGGGAATGAGTTTCTGTAACAAGCAACCCATATCATATGAATTAACTATTTTTTTTTGCCACAGGAAGAGTCTAAATGCAACCAGCATGTGAAAACTTACAGCAAAATAGCTGTATAATTGATGTCGGATTTCTTTAGTTTTCCTGCATTTTGGTCATTTAAAAAAAGAATGCAATTAGTTCTCAGATACAAATGTACGGATTTGTAAAATTCATCACTTACATTAAAGACCATATAACTATATCACACTTTTTCATTCGGCACAGACAATTCAGACTGACGTGATATTTGACATATTTAAAAATGAGCAAATTAGCTCTTGTGAGGTTTAAGCGAACACATCTGCAGTGAATTGGGATGCACTGAAACAAAAGAGGAATTCACAAAGCCTTATTACAAAGATAATCTAACAAACATTTACAAAAGAATAAAACTGTTTACAGTAACAGTTAGAAATCGAATATGACAATTTAATGTTTTTCCTAAGCTGCTTAAACCTAATCTGAAACTACACAGAGAGGCATTAAAAACAAAACAAATGAGAATGGTTCCAATACTCATTTGTTGCAATTTTTAATGCTTCTCAGTTTATAATTAAAAGTATATACAATAGATACATAGATATGGATATATATAGCAGTGTTTAATTTCATATTTTTTCTTCCTTTTCTTTTTTAACTTTTTATTTCTGAATTGAAACAGAAAATGCAGTTAGACTTTTATTGCACTTAAGCAGTTGTTTTAAATATTAATTGCATGTCTCAGGTTTAAAAAAAATATTCATTTAATCATGACTCCCTTCATAATTTTTCTCATTTCTATTTAAATCAGGTGGGACCATTTGATCATAAATCAAAACAAAAAACGTCTTCCATCCTCTAGAATCCTTTTTCCTTTTCTTTTACAGTTTGTCTGTTTTCACAGCTGAGAAGGAAAAAGGTTAAAGAAGGACTGTCTTTTCTGTCCAAGAGTCACTTAAGGAATTAACCTTGAGTTCACGAATCAGCTCCTAATGGGTACAGTGAGACCTACAGTGTTTCACCTCAAAGAAAATATACAGCGCCGGATTTAACAGTCACTTGTGCTTACTGCTGTAACAGCTGGAGAGCGATCCTCCCTGGTATGTAAAAATCCAGGTATGAGGAACTGAACAATTAGGCCTCAGCTAAGTAGATAAGCAATATGTCAACTAGTTCTAATAAAGGCCTGATAATCAGCTATTACTCTGCAGACCATCCACATTGCATTGCCTCTTTACAAGGGGAACATCTCACTACTATCCGGTTCTAAAAATATCATTTGTGAGATTCAGAAAATGCCTGAGGCATGTCATATCTTTGAGGTCCCAAATGCAATCGTGATATGGGACTGAACAGACTGAGGTCATTTTATAAAGAGTTCCGATAAGGCACTGTAACCTATTCAGTGGCCACTACTGTCACAGTGTGACATGGCAAACTGGAGCCTTGCATGCACAGGGCAAGACTATGCCTTGAGCAGGAGGCTAGCTGTGGTTAACTGTATCATCTGGACAGCATGTCTTTGGATGGTGGCAGATAACCAGAGAACCTGGAGGAAACCCAAGCAGTGATGTAGGGAACATGCAAACTCCATATAGAAGTTGCCCCAAAACTCAATACATGTAAGGCAGCAGCACCCACTTTTAAGCACCATGCTTGTGCACAGTAAATCACAACATCAATATGCCCGTTTAAAACTAGAGGTGCCTCCACAAAGTCACATCTTAACTCTCTGGTTTGTAGCTCCTTATAATCCATGTCAGCATGACTTGCCCTTATCTAGTGGAAATGGAACTGTCTTCCAGCTGGTATACAGTTACCTCTTAATCAGCAAGACAAGCGCTGTTCCTTTTGTATTACCTTAAGCATGCACTTTATCTGTGGTGAATTATACTTCTTTGCAAAACATAACATCTCATGGTGCTGGTTCCTAGATAATGTTCCTGGCTGATGGGTTTGAGAGCAAAAAAAATCACACACCGAATCCTAAAAGATTTTCTAATTCAAACAAAATAAAACCAAAAAGTAAATCAAACTGAAAGTCCGGAGAAGGAGGCAACTGAATCTCAAGAGTTGAAATTATTTTTCAGCTTTCCAGGATGCTCATTAACAAAGGACATCGGAATGAGCCATGTCCCAGTCGGAATGGAGCAAGACCTTGTGAGAAGAGTCCTGGAGGCAATGGGCCTTGCTGATAAGGCCTGACTGCAACTGATTCATCGGCAGTCCGGGCCAACCCTCCCACTTGATCTTTTATTCATAAGCCTGCCTTGTCCTGGTCATAAAAGCGTGGAAGCAGTGATGTCTCAGTTTATGGCCCGCTCCCCCCTTCCTTCATCACTCACCCGGTGGTAAGTCAGGGTCGCTGGGCGCTGCCTGATGGATGCGGCGCGGCTTGGCTAATGATTTAACACTTTCTGCTGCGCTGCGGCTGGTTGAGCTGGAGCCGCAGCTCTCGTGGTCCTCCTGTGAAACAACATCAACAAACAATCATCTGGGTCACTCAGGCACTGAGGGGGGAGAAAGAGCACGCACTGCTGAACCCCCGACGGTTTACAACTAGGACCAAAAGCTTTACAAATAAACCTTGATTCCAGGCTGGATAGTTCAAACGCCCACCGGGGAAGCCCAGAGACATGATTATCAACATTCAAAGGGTGCCGCATTTTAGGAAAGAAGGAATGCCATGCACACACACACGAATCAAGCCAGAAGTGTTGCTAAATGAGCTGAGACGTGAACAGAAATGTTAAGAGAAAGTTCAATATGTTTAACGGGAGAAGCAGGAGGAGGACGTTCAGATGGACAGCACACAACATGAACATGAAGAGATGCATTTTTAAAGAGAGGAATCTGAATGCCAAGTGTGTGCTTATTTATTGGTCACATGGAAATAAGAATCGCAAGCACAAAAATTAAAATTGGTGACGTATTGTCTGTTTTTCACTGTCCTACAATAATCCCGATTATCAAATCCTACTAAGAAAAATAGAGCCTTGTAAAGTTGTCATTGTAATGGATCACGCACAAGGCATTTTCACAAAAAATGACCATCTCTAAGGAAAAGGTATTCACCTCTAGCATGGCTTTGATTAGAGTTTTATAAAACAGTGTAACCTTTTCACTGGGAAGCAAAAGCATGTGTAGACAGTCAAAACTGTGAGGGATCACATCTGTTTAGCATTTAACATTGGATAAAATCACAGGTCTCAAAAGTCACAGTTATCCTCAGTAATATAAACAGCAAAGGTGTCAAAATGAATCACATCTGGTAGCCCCTATTTCATGCAAAGTTAGAACTGTTGAAGTCTGTAATGAAGATTGCATTTCAAACATACTTTACATAATTCAGAGGTGGCCACTCAAGAACTCAATTTATTCTCCTGTAAAATAAACGCTTATAAGGACAAAACAGCAAATACACTGAGAAAGACGATCTGAGTCATCTTGAACCTCCCTGCTCTGCGTTTCACAGCACTTTGCTCCAAAACTGCAGAACCATTCCATCTCTAGAAATGGGAATAGATAAACATTAGGAGAGGAATAATAAATAACTCACCAGGGTGAAAGTCTGGAGATTAGAAATGACAAAAATCAGATTGTTGTTGATTGCCCTCATTTCTTCACAAAAGCCGCAAAGTTGTAATGCACTGTGTCTGTTATTTGGGACTACTGACAAAATTTAAATCTGTATATATTTCCGTAAAAACCTACAATTAACTGAAATCAAAGCTCAGAATAACTTGCTCTATAGTGTAAATTAGAGCACTATATTTTTTTTTTTCAGCTGAAACTAAAAGAGCTGCAGTTTAAATTGTATTGATTTCCCTGAATAAAAAAGTTGCACTTTAGTTTTGTTTTTTAAAGTGGATAGAGGAAATAAATGTACTTCTAAGGCTAATAACTGGAGAAAACAGTTCATGGTAGAGGACATGAGCTCTGAGATCCTTTCGGACTGAAACCTCTATATAAAAGCAAAGAAATACTATTCAAAAACATCTATCAATGCTGTTGATGCCATGATATTCATTTAAAAAAATATATTTGAGCAGAAATCTAACAGCTGGAATGAAAAGAGCATAAAGTTCAAGTTATACTAGTTTTCCTCAACCAAAAAAGTATCCTTTTGGTTTTATCTCTTGAACTAGGTATACGCATACAGTGTATAGGAATTAAGCTATGGACAACAAAAAGATAGGTGTACCATTTAATTATCAGTAAATGACCATAAAAGTAATTCAATCAGTCTTTCACACAGTGAATAGCTTATAGCCTGGCACTAACTGAACAAATGCTTTTTTTTTGGGGGGGGGGGAGCCCTAAAACAATTTGTCTGCCCCAGCTGCTCTCCGAGTAAGATGATCCAGCTAATGCCATATCAGGTCAGGGAGGGAGCTGGGGGCTGGGGGGGGCAGAGGAAAAGGCTTGAAGGCATGTCAGCTCAGCTGTTTCGTAAAGATGACGGCACAGGACCCCACCCCCAGTTTGAACTCTCCTCTCAGGCAGGCGCTCCCAAAGGCTAGGCTAGCCCAGCCCTGCCCCTGAGTGATGGAATGTGGGCTGAGAGGAAGGGGACCCCCTACTTGGAGGGTAAGTGGGTACCCGGTGAGGGTTAGGGCACAGGAAGGGGATATGTGACCCCTTTCAGTGAAAAACGTCTCGCCAGCAGTCAATCAGCGCAGCGGCCTTGACATTTGGGGAGACCCTGCGGTTTGACACCAGTTTGCCGTGTTCCCTCCTGAGGAAAAGCAAGGCCAGGGGCCGCTGCAGTGTGTTCGGATAGGCCGAAACGGCTGAAGCCACACACAACAGCCTGCTTCATGCACAAGTCAGGAAAGGAGACTTTTCTTCTACCGTCTCAAGCTTGAACAAGATTTAATGGCTTGAAATGTTATTTCTGTTATTTGGGACTACTAATAAAATGTCACACTGGAGAAAATATTAAACCAGTCCCCAGAATCTCATGTCCCTTCAAGGCAAAGCCATATCTTATTTTTAGATCAAAACCTGATTTTTTTTAGAACAAGAAAGCTTGTTTTCACTTTTGCAGAGTGTTTCGAAACTCTTTATGGGACTTTATTCTTAAACTGTATACATATTAATACACATAACACTGAATGCACTCAAAACAAAATGTGGATAAGTGATTTTTACAGTATGTTTACATTCTAACTTCAAAGAAACAGACCTAAAAAGTCACTTTGCTGCCAGTAAGGTGAAAATCTCCATTGCTAGAAAAAAAAAAAGAAATCTGATCCCTTTTTATCTTGCTGACACAAACCAATCCCTCTCAGCAGTGACAAGCCACAGTCTAGTCCTCTTCTTCAGGGCCCACAGAAACTGGTCCCCGGAGAGAGGCCTGCTGCCAGGGTGCTGGATAGGCAAACATTCCCAAACAAATAAACAGGGAATGGGCGGCTGCTCATCCCTGGAGCGGCCCTGCACTACAGACAGCCGCCAGGGGAAACAAGCCAGACTCCACTCATTAAAGGAAAGACAACAAGGCAGAAAGGTTAAAAACTGGGAAGGGGTAGGGGGGGGGGATATGCCTGACAAGGCACCACAACTCACAAAAACAAATTTGCTAAGAGGCCCCAACTCCACCATTATGCTGAAAAACCTTTAAACACAGCTATCTGCTTCAGCTTTATGTAGCACTTCAACCAGCCTAGATGTCTAGAGTCCCTTGCCTGAAACAGCAGATTTCATTTCATTTCATTAGGGGGTATCATGTCCAAGTAGGTGCACAAACACACACACATTTTAATGAGATAGCCCACCTTCTAAACCCGGACAATCACCCATCTCCCATAAAACAAATACATAACTCATCTAACATGCGGGCCTCTTCTTTTGCAGATAACTTCTAACTTCAGGTTATGAAACCACGATACAAAATTTATGTGCAGCTACTGTTGGTATTGAAACAAAATGGATATAAAGGTGAAAAGAAGGTCACAAGGGGAGGCAGGCAAGTTTACTAAGGATAACGTGGTAATTAATGTGAACCATACGTCAGTTTTTCATTTGCCATCAAGACATACACCAAACACTAGAGAAACTGACTTTCCCTGAAGACGTATTTACAGTAATGAAAGTGGAGTACGCTAGGCTGGTGCTGTGTGCTGTGAAACAATCTAAGTTAATTTCAAGGTCTTTACTACACGAAGATCGAGCTTAGAATTTACACCTCGCTGATATGAAAACCTCACACTTCAAGTGCAGAAATACCGTCATAGCAGGGCTTAATAGAGTCTTAACAGAAACTAGATGCAGATGAACACCCTGCAAAATCCAGTGAAGCAGAACGGAATATTCTGCTGAACGTTTCTTTAGTGGAAACACCACATGACAAAAAAGCTTTTATTAAAACAGTCCCAGCAAAGGTATTTCAACATTCATAAAAACGGGTGCTTTTCTAGCATGTTTCCAGTCCTGTAAAACCCTACATTCTGTCTGACTTTTTTCCCCCCTTTGTGGGGTTTCCAACTGACTTGTACTGGAAAAAAGATTATTTTTTTTTTTAAAAAGGTTGAAAATGTATGCAGATTAAGCAAATCTCCACACATAGGAACTGTGCAACGAGATCTTTAATGATCACAAGCAGCCAGAACCTTGGTTTAACTTCTCATCCTGAAAACAGTTTGGTGATCATTTACATTCTCACAATATGGTACTATGGTAGGCCTTAGGATATAAGGCACAGGATGTATAGCAGTCTTGATCTGTAAAATTCCAGTATGGAACAGTGTGGACAATACCTGTTAGTTTGATTTATTTTATGTGATGGTGATGTACTGTATTTTTTACTGCATTCAAAACTATTTAGACAGTCGAAGCTACAAACATTAAATGTCTTGCTTTATTATCCCCCTAAATAGCCAAAAATAAAAAAGCAAAGAAAAAAAAGTAAAATAAATACAAATTATAAATACACATTTCTTTTAACTTCATGCTAAAAGTTAATCACACCTAGACTGGAGGTTATAATAGAGTTGATATCTACAAGTGTATGACAAATTGGCATTATTTTACTTTCAGGCTATTTTTTTCTCCACCATGTAACTATAACCAGTATTTTTAGCACAATGTCTGTGTCCATTTTCACAAGTACACAAACCCAGAACAATTGAAATAACCTAAAATATCTCTGCTATGCTTGATCAACATATAGCTACAGAATCTTACTGAAACAAATTATATACAGTACCTGTTCCATCAGTACATAAAAAAAGTTATCAAAATCATCTGTCCACCATCTGTCACAAGTGCAAAATATTTTTAAAAACTAAATAAAATCCTGGGTGTATAATCTAAAACTGCTATAGCTAGTAATTATGCACATACTTTAATACTTCAATAAAACATTTCCAAGCCTTATTTCTTTATAAAACCACGTACCACAGCAAAACAAAATATTTCGTACATACTGTACATGTTTGAGTTTACAGAACAGCTAAACAAAA